CTGGTCTCATTTCTCTGAGCAGTTTTTGTCCTGTGCAAGCAGTGCCTTGGTTGAAGAATGTCCTCTTCCCAGGAACATCGTGCCATGGATGTTAAATGCAGGTTGGCCCTGCAGAGGGAACTGCAGCTGATCCCTGGGAGGCCACACTGGAACACGAAAACGACATTGTTTCATGCAGAAATGTGGAGACATGAGGCTGGGACTGTGCTCAGAGCCACCAGGGGAGGGATGGCTGAGGGGCCCAGCAGTGGGAGATGCCTGTGGCAGGTTCTCCCTTGGTTCCTGTGCGCTGCTGTCTCCACCAAGTGGAGGCTGTGACCATCACTGGTCCCAGAGTGTTCCCCAGCAGTCTCTGCAGGGGTGCAGAAGATGGGGCTGGTCTCTGTGCCGGCCCAGTGTCAGCTCTGAGCCTTGCGGGCACCTCCTGGTTCAGCTCCCAGGACTTAAACTGAAGTCCTGAAAACTACAAGTCCTTTTCTCCCTATGTGCCCTCACCCAATTCAGCAAGACCTGCTTCCAGCCTTAGGATCTGCAGATCTGAAAATTCCCTGCTTTTCTTCCTCATCCTCTCTCTGACCCTTGGCAGCAGTTGTGCCTCAGCTCTGGTGGTGCTGCAGTGGGACAGGAATGAGCCAGGTGGTGCCTGATTTCTTCATCCCCCCGGGCAGGATGTTCTCTGGCACTGTGTCTCGGGGGTAGTTTCTGGAGAAGGAGTATATTCCACCTGTCCTGCTGCTTCCTCTAACTGGAGGCTCTTTGTGCTGCCAAGAAGCAGGGGAGGCAAAATTCAGCACAACACTGAGCAAGTGCAGCCTCAGGGGCAGGGGATCCACCATCCACGGAGCAACGGGATGGGCAGGGAATGGTGCTTCTCTGGTCACCTCCCGTGGGCCAGCACGTGGTGGAGCCTGTGGTGGCTCTGTCCTCCCAGGAACCCTGGCTCTGCTGTGGCTGTGTGTGTACCCCTCTCCATCCTACCTGAAGTTTTCCAATGTCACTCATTTCCTTTTCTTTCCCATTTAGCCTCAGGATGTTGGTGCTCTTTCCCAGCCAAACCAGGAGGTTTCAAACTCTGCTGTCCCATGAGGATTGTTCCCTCAGCCCTGCTCCCTAGGGACAGTTATACCCCAGTCAGCAACTGGGCTCCAGAAGCCTGGACTGACCCTGGTTCTGCTCCAACCTCAGGAGCACTGCCTGGATTTCACCTGAGCCCACAGGGAAGTGATGCTCGTTCTGCTGGGAGAGTTGTCTTCCCCCATCACTGCCTCCTCCTCGTCTCCAAAGCTGTGCAGCCCCAGCAGGGGCACCAAGTAGCTTTTGGAGAGCTCAGATCTTCTCCCAGGAGTGTAAGAGCTGCTCCATTGGGCCCTGCCATCTGCACAGCAGCTCTGACCCCCTGTGTCACCTGGAAAGGGGTCCACCTTTGTGCTTGGGGAGCTTTTTGGTGTCAGTGTCCAAGAGGAAGGAGAGGTTGGTCTGTCCCTGGATGGTCACTGTGCTGTGGGACTCCTGTCAATGCTGTCAGAGCCCTGGGACAGTAATCCTGTTGGGGATTGTTTGTAGTGTTCAGACAAGTTCTCCTGCGTGGTGTGTCCATCAGCCCTTTGGGGGCTGTAAGGATTGAGGTGAGGGAGATGTTCTCCATGTGCAGGGAAGGCAGGAGGATCCATCACCTTCTCCTGCTGTTGTCAGCAGCTGGTGATGCCCCTCTTGTGCATCACTTGAAGCAATCAGAGCCTCCTGGCTCCTCTGTCCCCTGCATAGCACAGATTGAGCTCAGGGGGCTCTGCCATGTCCGGGAGGTGACCCCATATCCCCCAGGGAATGTGGGGTCACCTCCCGGGCACGGCAGAGCTGCAGCCACACCCAGCTGTAACCTGGTACAACTGCTGCCTTCAGCCCTCCTAGAAAGTGTCAGAAGACAGAGAAGGACTCTGTTTGTTGTAACATTGGTGTAGAAATCCAGTGATGCTACTTTTTTTTTACTGTTTTAATTGTTTCTCACGGGATCAGCAGGGCTGGTGGACCATGAAATCTTGCTGGGAAGTCACTTCCTTGGCAGAGATGGATCCAGAAAGTCAGTGGGTGTGAAGGGCAAAGGGTCCATTGGCCTGATCTAATGATTTATGTATTCCTGCAGCTTCAGGCCACCAAGTGTGGCCAGTGGACATCTGTGCTGAGCCCAGCAACCTGGGACCAGCCAGATACACATCTCTGGCTTTGAGAACTTGGGGACGTTTGTTCTCCTTGGGCATATCCTTTGGAAAGCAGTTGTTCCAGAGGACCACCATCCATGCTGATATTTTATGCCTCATTTCAACTGGTTCCAGCTTGCAGGAGGAGCTCGTAGTCTACTCTTCCCTGCCAAATTAAGGAAAGACAGTATTTTCTCCCCACTAAGATTGATAATATGCTGCAATCAAATCACCTCTCAGTGTCCCTTTTGCCATGAGAAATGGATTGCAGTGCTTTGGTCTCACAAAGTCATGAAGTGTCTTTTCCCCAGACTTGAACCATTTCAGTGCTGCTTTTTTGAGCCATCTCCAGCTTTTCTGCTCACCTCTGAAACACCAGGGTGCTCGGTGTGTCTGCAGCCTGAGGGGACTGGCTCCACCACGGCTTCCTACTGGCAGAAAATGCCCTCCTAGTTCAGTCTCAGGTTCCTGAACCAGCAAACCGGGTTAGTCCTTCAGGTCTGTGTGGCTGCAGCATGAGCTGCCCCTGGCATCACAGCTTTGGGGGGCACCCACCTTCCTGGACTTGTTTGACTGTTCTACAACCTCTTGTCTTGGGCAGAGCCAGCTACAGAGAGAGGGATCCACGGGTGTGGATGCAAAGTGGGTGCCATCAGAAAGTCTTTATGTTCTTACCCCATTTATAATCTCAGAAAGCTGCAGCCTCTGCTTCACTGCCACTTGTATTAGTTTTTAATTCCATGTCCCCTGGCTCCTGCATGGATTTCCACGTGGGTTTGTCCAGGATTGGCAGGTCCAGGTTGCTGTACCATCAATAACTGAGGTGTTTTTCCTGCACTTCACAGCAGAGCTGGCTCTCACTGCCTGCTCCCACCTTCCAACCTCCCAGTGGGAACTGTACTGGTTGACTTTGTTTTTCCTCCACAGTCCTCATCAGAGAGTTTTTCCTCTACACCCAATCGCTGCCTTTATCAGTGTTTTGCATTTCACACCTCCTGAATTTGATTGATTTGCAATTAATCCCACCCTTTTCTGATCCCTGAGTGTTTTGTACCTTCCCCTTGGGACAGGTGCTGAGCGACTCCATGTAGGGTGAGATTGATGGGCCTTTGGGACATCCAGTGATATTTCCATAAAGATAGTCCAGTTTTCAACCACATTTTCTCTGCCTTAATTTATCTTTCTCCCTTGTAAAAACCCTGTATGATTTTGGGAGCAGGGGGGAGTATGTGTGAGGAGGCAGGAAATGAGTGGGAAGGCAGGTCAAGGCTAATTCTCTCTGTTTAGGGGCTATTAATTGTACATCTCTCTCCATAATGAGATTGAAGGGAAGGAATAATAAAATATCTGGTGATAGGACAGGACTGACCCATTTTGAAACAGCAACTCCATGTCTGTGTTGGAGGCTGGGCAGTAATGACTCTTGATTCCTCTGCTCCCTCAGCCCTGTCCTCCCAGGATTACCCACTCCAGCTGCAGTGTTTTGCTTTCTCTGTCAGCTCCATAACCAGTGTCAGAACCCATTGCAGGTGTTGGTTTTCAGACATTTTTAATTCATACTTTATTCTGACTTTACACTGTTCCAAGCAATGGGATTTCCTTCTCTGTTGCATGATCTAACAATCATCCATAACTTCAGCCTATTTTTCAATTTATTTTGCCTGTTACTTCTGCCTAAACCATTTCCAAACACCTTTGGCTGTTCCCAGTGTTTACAAGATTACTAAATACATCACAGTCTTTTCTGTTTCTGGCTAGTGTAAACCACTGTATATTTAGTTCTTCTGATATCTGCACAAACTGAAGCAGCAATTCTTTCATCCTTGTATTGTGTGCTGGAGTTTATTAATAACCAGTATGAAAAACCAGGAGCCCCTAAGGAGTGGTGGGATGGTGCATTTGGGAAAGGAGCTCCACTTTTTTATTACCAGGTCTCGTGCTCAAACCCCCTTTGCCTTTTGCCACCACAGCACTTGTTGAAGTTGTTTTGCAGCTTTGAGGTGCCCAGTGTCCTTTTCTAAGGGGTTTTGAGTGTTTTTATAGATTATTTTCTCCCATGAATTTTCAGCTTTTTCTTTCCAAGATGAAAACACGTTATTCCCTTCATCTGTTTTTGAACACAGTGGATCTCCTCTGCCTCTCCCCATCCATCACACTTTCTGTCATCTTTGATAGTTGCATCTGTCCATAACGGGATAGTCTCCCTAAATATCCTCATACTATAGATGATGCCCTTTGATCAGCACCATATATGTTAAATAAAGCCATGGGAATACCACAGGATGTCAGGCTGCTTGAAGGGATAAAAGAGAGGATGTGATGGACAAGTACTCCAAATAAAAAATGTCAGAGAATCAGAGACTCATTTAGGGGGTGGAAAAGACCTTTAAGATCATCCAGTTGAACCATTAATCCAGCACTGCCAAGTCCACCCCTGTCCCCAGTGCCACAGAAGAGCAGGGCTTTGCTTTGCATGTGTGGACGAGTCTTGGTGCAGCACCTGCTGTCAGAACTGCTGGAGCTCTGCTCTTGGCCTGCTGGCAACCACGTGAAATTCTGTGCCCTTCTTTAGGTCCTGCTGCTGTTGCTTGTGATGATTAAGGTTATTTTCATTATTAGCAAATGCTTTTGTTGCTTTTGTCTGGTTACATTTTAATTACTTCCCTTGTTTGACAGGCACACGTTCCTACCCATGCTTATTTTAAATAACCTGCATAAACCAAGATACCTTGCATCGGGTCCTGGTATGAGAAAAGAGCACTTGTCAGTGAGGATTCACGTTGTCTCCTCTTTTCCCCCATTCAGGGAGTGTTTGAAGAGGAGCCCACAGAGCCCGAAAGCAGAGGGCTCTGACTCGATGACATCTCAGTCCTCACCCAGTGAAGAGGCTGGAATGATGACTGAGGTGAAAGTGAAGACAGAGGTACCAGATGACTACATTGAAGAGGTGATCTGGCAGGACGACACCAAAGATTCCAAGAACAACATCAAAGACGGGCCGGGAGATGTTCCCGCCGAGATCTGCGTGGTCATAGGTGGGGTCCGCAACCAGCAGACACTCGGTAAGACACGGCAGCACCACCCCCCCTTCCCTGCCTGTGTGTGGGGACAGCAGAGCTCTGCAGAGCTGTCCCTGGGCTCTTGGCTCTGCTGGAGGGCCCAGAGCCAAGGTGCACATCCACCTCGGGGTCCTGGCTCATGACTGACCTGCTGCAATTTCTGCTGGGTGTTCACATCTGGTCACCCTGAAAGGCTCAGCCAAGACCAGAAAGAAAAAGCTGGTGATCTTCTTTTGGCTTGTTCAGTGACTGGCCCATCAGGCACCTGGCCCATGGTGGGCCAAAGGCTGGGGGTGTGTTTGACAGAGATGAAGCAACTGGGAGGAAAGCCTGAGAAACTGCTGAAATGTTTCCAGGAAAGTTGCCTTGTGGAATGTGGATGCTTTGTGTAAATAATTAGATTTAGCTCTAAAGAAGGTTTTACAGGTTCCTGTTTGTTTTTCTGATCACTAGTCACATTATGGGAATAATTTTGACTTAGGGCTGGCTGTGGTGTGCCCCTTCCAAAACAGTGCTTCCTGTCCCCACCCCACCTCCAGCTGTGATGAGAAGGAGCTTTTTCTCTTTTTCTGTGAACATCAGACTGTGCTCTCCGCCTGCTCCAGGGAAAGGGGCTTCCTGCAAGAACCTGGCAAGGCACCTCTCTTGCACTTGCCTCTGTTGGCTCTGACCTGGAGCAGCTCTCTGTAGTGTCTCTGAGAGCCAAAGGCAGCTGCTGATATAAAGAAGGAGGAGCAGTTGGACCATGTTTCCTTTGAGGGACTCAGAAGGAAGCTAATTAGGGTTCCCCTGTGTTGTTGTTGAGGTTGCCTTGTCTTGCAGGGGGAGAGAAATGATGTTTGATTTTCTCCTGGGTTTTGCTTGATCATTGTCCACACTGCTGGAAAGAAACCTGGGAGGTGTCCTCAGCTGGTGGTTGTCTCAGAAGCATTATTGTTCTTCCTGTCCTCCTTTCCCTGCCAAGACAGCCACCAAGAGCAGCAGGGTGGGAGGTCACTGCTGTCTGTGCAGGGTCAGAATGTCTAGGGAAAGCCTAGAAGTCCATAACTATTTCTGACTTCAAGATCTTGCACTTTGGAGGAAACGTTCAGTGTGTTTTCAGAGTTTTTGTGCCTCTACAGCTCTTGAGAGATTGAGCAATACATGGGCAACCCTGAAAAACCTCCCTGGTGCCATGGGAGGGAGAGGTGGGGATATGACCACTGATGGGGAGCAGTGGGAGCTTCTCCTTCAACCATGGTCCCCAGCCCTTGGTGAAAGCATCTGCAGGGTGGGTGTTTGCTGTGTAGGATCCCCTTCTCCCCACGGCTTCTGTCTGGGTAGCAGCAGCTGCTCTGCAGGTGCTGGCCCCTGAGAGTGGTGGTTTCCAGGCCAGGTTGGTTTCATTGCTGTGCAGTGGGGAGGGGGCTTTTGCTGTTGGATGACTTGGGTGGACTAGAGGGGAAGCCACCAAGGAGCAGCTGAGGCCACTGGGTTTGTTCAGTTGGAGAAGAGACTGAGGGGAGACTCACTGGGGTCTGCAGGTTCCTCCTGAGGGACAGCTCCAATCTCTGCTCTCTGTGAGCAGTGACAGGACCCAGGGAATGGCTGGAGCTGTGTCAGGACAGGTTCAGGTTGGATCTCAGGGAAAGGTTCTTCCCCCAGAGGGGGGGAAGTCTCCTCTTCTCCAGCTGAACACACCAAGTGCCCTCAGTGTCCTCACACACCTTCAAATCAAGGCTCTTCCCCATCCTCGTTGCCTCCTTTGGACACTCTCCAATGGCTTCAGATCTTCCTCAAATTGTGTCCCCCCAACCTGCCCCAACATTGCAGGGGAAGCCGCCCAGGGCAGAGCAGAGCAGGACAAGCCCCTCCCTCGATCCTGCCCCCTCTGCCCCACTGGCCATTGCAGCTGCTGTGCTGGAGCAGCCCAAGGTGTGAACTGCTGATGCCAGTGGTGCCTCCTGACCCTGGAGCAAAGCCTTTGTGCTCTCTGTTGCTGCACTTGCAGGAGTTGTTCTCCCTGCAGCCTCTCTCGTGGTGTGATCTGGAGCCCTGTGTCTGAATCATTTCCGCTGTGCAGACAGGCAGGGCTTTGGGAGGGTTTTATTCGCCTTCACTGGGGAAGCTGAGATTGGAGGTGTCGAAAGTGGTTATTTTTTATAGTAATTCCTGATGAAATGGTGAATTGGGTGTGAATGAATCTCTGTCCTCTGTGTGGGACTGCTGCCCCCCAGACTGTCTCCTTTCAGAGGGTGCTGGGGACAGTCGGTTCAAGGGGGAATGTGTTGTCTGAGCTGGGCCCACGGTGCTGGAGGCTGAGGGACCACGTGGCTCCCAGTGACAGCTTTCCTGGGGGCTCAGCCTTGGGAGTTGGCTGAAATACACGTTACAAGATTTATGTCTCTTTTCTGAGTCACATCTCTTCAGGAGCCTGCTATATTTATATTTTTAGTTGTTACTTGGAGCAATTTATAACAGGGATTCCCAGCTCAGTTGCTGCTGTTCCCTTGCAGTATTTTCATCACATTAGGCCTTGTGTCTGCTGCCTCCTGTTTGCTTACACATTCACATGTCTCTCCTGGCACTTTGGAGTGCTCCAGACTCTGTTTCCATCCATCTGGGGCAGCCCCAACCCTGTGGTGGCTGAAGTGGCTGCAGTGGAGTGGGATGGGTGGTGACAGTGGCTGCAGTCCCCCAGCTGAAGAGCCAGTGCTCTGTGTGGGTTTGGACCCTTTCCCTTTCAGCTGCTTTTCCACAGTTCTTGCAATCCCGTGGGATTGCCCTTTGGCTTCCCAAGCAGGGAAAGCCATCGGAGAGGTTGGCTCTAACCTGGGCCCAGTCTGCAGCAGATGCTGCTGCTGTGGATCCCCCGTTCCTCCCCTGTACCCCCACGGTCCCCCTGGGTCTCCCTGTCTCAGGGAGGTTCCTGCCCTGCACAGAGCAGAGGTGCAGAGATGCCATGTCCTGTTCTTTCCTCTGACAAGCCTCACGCCCTGGCCCTGGGCCAGGGTCACCTGAAGAGCCCCAACTCAGGGACATTTCTCAGGGCAGGAGTGTCAGGGCAGAGGCAGAGAAGTCCCACCATGGAGCTGTCTGGAGAGGAGAGGAAAAGCAAAAGGCACTTGTGCTGTAAATCAGGAGAAAGGGGGAGACTGTCAGATGTGGACCATTTCCTAATGCTGGGAATACCATCAGGCAGGTCTGTGTGTTTTGGAGGACTGAGTTATCAGGAGAGGTTTCATACAAGACTGCTTAAGCTCTCAGTCTGGCTTGTGCTTTACAAGAAACATTCTGGAGGGGACTTTTCAAGTAATGCATTCAATCAGAAATGTTTCTGAGACAGTGAAGAAAGGTCCTTCTGCTTTGAGACCGTCTCTCAAATGTCACCCGCACAGGCTGGGTTTGTGCCGTGGTGCTGAGGCTCAGTGCTGAGCTGTTCAGCATGCGCAATTCAGGAGCACTTTCTTTGCTCCCCAGTGAAGTAAAATAGTGCTGCAGAAACCTTAAGAAATTCTGCATGACCCCTGACATCTTGTTAGCGAGCCACAGGGACAGATGGGGCTTGGAAATTTTTAATAGGCTTCAGCCATCATTATTCTTTGGAAATGCATCCAAAAAAAACTTTAAGGGCGTTTTTCTGATTTCTTTTTGCACAATTTAGATGGAAAAGCAGTGGAACGTGGCTCTCCTGTTGGATATACACGAAATCGATATGCAGGGACGTGGATTTTTGACCATGCATTGAGATACACGGCCGGTATGTGATGGAGGGTGTGAGAGTCTAACCAGGGATCAGGGAGCAAGGGAAAGCTCTGGATGCAACGCGTGTGTTGCCCAAATTCCAGCTGTGAGGCTCAGGAAAAGCCTGGCACCAACTAACCACAAACCTTCCCCATCTCCCCTCCTACCACAAGCAGCTTTAACCTGCATGACACATCCTGGTGTGGACAAAGGCTGAGATGGATCCCGGCCATGGTGGTGCCCGAGGCCCCACGGGTGTGTTCTTTGCAAGGCCTTAACACACAGCAATGGCTTTTTTCTCCTTCACTTCATCCTTCCTCCACTCCAGTAACACCTTTTTTGTGCTAAGTCACCCTTTCTTTCTCTACTGTGATGATCTGTGTGCTGAGCACACAGTTGTGGCTGTTGAGTTGTCTCTTGGAGCCCGTGGGACTTCAGGGGCGTAACACACCTCCCTCACACCCTCCACACACCCAGTGTCCTCCTGGGCACTGCTCTGCCACCCACAGGCAGGAGGTGGGTGGAGATGTCCCCCTTGAAGATGACTCCAGCCTTCCTTGAGTACTTGAGACCTTCAGGGCATCTGCAGAAAAGCCAAGGGACTCTGGTCCCTCTGCTGCCATTGCTTTCCAGCACAGCCCCTGCCCGAGGGCTGCAGCACCATTTGGGTTTGCACTGGAGAGGAAGGCACTGCACAGTTACCTGTACAGGTGATATTCGTGGAGAACTTCTGCACATCTGTGTGCCCTAGGCTATATCCAGAGGAAGGGGGAAATATAAGAAAAAGGGAGGAAAAAAAATCAACCTAGGGCCATTGATCCCTCACTCTGTTTGACCTGTTTGCACAGATTCAGAGAACCACGGAATGCTTGGGCTAGAAGGGATCTGAGCATGAGCAGGGACACCCTCCACTAGCCCAGGTTGCTCCAAGCCCCATCCAACCTGGCCTTGGACACTTCCAGGGATCCAGGGGCAGCCAAAGCTTCTCTGGGCAACCTGTGCCAGGGCCTGCCCACCCTCACAGCCAGGAATTCCTTCCCAACATCCCATCTAACCCTGCCCTCTGGCAGTGGGAAGCCATTCCCCCTTGTCCTGTCCCTCCATCCCTTGTCCCCAGTCCCTCTCCAGCTCTCCTGGAGTCCCTTTAGGCCCTGGAAGAAGCTTGAAGGTCTCCCTGGGTCCTTCTCTTCTCCAGGTGAATCCCCCCAGCTCTCCCAGCCTGGCTTCAGAGCAGAGGGGCTCCAGCCCTCTGATCAACTTAGTGGTCTCCTCTGGACTTATTCCAGCTTTTCCCAGTGCTCCATGTGCAGCCAGCTCTGTGTTGGGATGCGGGTGGGCATCACTCATGTTCCTCTCTTGGTTCATCTGACCCTCAGCTTTGCCCAGGGCTCCTGGTTGTAGGGCCAAGTGAGGGTCAGTGCACTCGTCTGCTGGCTGTGCTGCTTCAGGGCTCCAGCTGGAATAGCTTTCAAGAAAGAATTTTGGAGGTTGGTGATGAAAATAATCAGTCCTTGAGCGTGGAAAATGAGGGCTGGCAGGTGCTGCCGACTCGCTGATAGCCAGGATTTCACTTGGGAAAAGCTGTGTGGAGTGACCACAGGTGATGACTGTCCCATTTATGTGTATCTGGATATAAAATACAGTGAGCTTTGATAATAAAAATGCTCTGGAGCAGATCAGACACAGTGAACTGCCTGTGCTATCAGTGGATCTGAGTGTTTTCTCAGATGTGTGCTCTGGTGTATCTGACTGTGGCAAATGGCCTCTTTCAGCATCAGGGGCAAAGCAGCCTCCCAAGCTCACAAGACATTCCTGAGTGATGCCAGCAATGATGGACAGGGAATTCAGGGCTGTTACAGACTGAAAGGAGGGTTGTTTTCTTCCCAAGCTGTAGAATAGCACATGGGAAGGCAAAAAGGGACCGTGGGTATAACATGTTCAAACAACACGTTGATTTTGTTCCTGGCAAGAGCTCACTTTGAGTAGCACCAGGTAAGTTCTGCTGTGAGATGCTGGTTGGGAATGTTTGTTTGGATGTGTGTGTGAATGTTTGTCATTTTTTATGGCTCATCCCTGAGTTTTACTGTCTGGCATGGTCAGGAAAAGATTGTTTCAAGGTTGTGCGAGGAAGCATCCATGGACATGAAACACTGCCTTCACACCAAACCACATTCAGCCCTTTCTTCTCCCACCTCCTCTCCCGTAAGTGCTGCCTTCGCCCTCCTGAAGAACACTGAGGGGATCCCAGTTCAGTAGCTGCTGGGGGACAGCTAAGGAATGCAATGCATTGTGCAAACGAGAGCTTGGGAGGTGAATTTACAGTCTGTCCACTGAAGTGGAGTGGGAGAAAAAAGAGATTGAATCAACTGAAATAAAAAATCTGAGGAAATTTCTGTCTGCCTGTTCAATAAACAGAAGAGCCTAAATCCATGGCATAATTTCATCATTACAAATGGTTCTCCCAGCTCTGCTCCTCTGGTTTCATTTCAAATGACTGTTTGCAGATGTGTGTTTTCTGGAATTAGAGACACATATTGAGAAGAGAGACTACTGTGGTCATGTGCTTTTCCTTAAAAAGGGCAAAAGTTCTATTTGTATCTATTTGGTTTCCTCTGGGTGGATATTTACCAAATCTCTGTGGGTTTCTTGGGAAATTTGTACATTGTGCATTTCTTGAGAAATTTTGAAAACTCCTTGCCTCAAGTTAACATATTGCCTTCTTTTTTCAGTTGAAAAGCTTTTTTTCCCAGCTAGTAGGAACTTACTGAAAAGTAATTCAGGGTTATTTCTGTCCATAGGAAACATTAGTCATTATTATAAAATTATAAGTCGGGCTATTTTGAGAGTGGCACTTTCACGTTAGCAAAGTTGAAAAGATACTCTGAAAATGTAAGTTCAGGGTAATATGCCAAGGAATCTTAAATAAGGCTGAAAAAAGAATAGAGTCTGGGACAGTGATTTCCTGCATTTATCTCCATGAACCTTCCAAAAATGACTTTGCTGCAAACTGCATTCTTTTGCCCGCAGCGTATGGATCAGTGTGTGGGGAGGCTGCTTTTCCTGATCTAATGTGGTGATGTATTTCTTCTCTGCCTTGTTTTTCAGGGTCTTACGAGTGTGGAATATGTGGGAAGAAATACAAGTATTACAACTGTTTCCAGACCCACGTGCGAGCACACAGAGGTACCTCCCTGCTGCTCCCATCTCTGGGAATCCTGGGGTAACAGGCAGGGTCAGGGACTGTGGAGCTGTGGCAGGGCCAGGGACTGTGGAGCTGTGTCAGGGCAGGCTCAGGGTGGATCTCAGGGAAAGGTTCTTCCCCCAGAGGGTGGTTGGCACTGAACAGGCTCCCCAGGGCAGTGGGCACAGCCCCAAGGCTGCCAGAGCTGCAGGAGGGTTTGGACAACGCTCTGAGGGCCAGGGTGGGATTGTTGGGGTGTCTGTGCAGGGCCAGGGGTTGGACTGGATGGTCCTTGTGGGTCCCTTCCAGCTCAGGAGATTCTGTGATTTTATGTCTATTTTCAGGAAGGTCTTGAAGGTTTCTCTGCTGCTTCCCTGGTCACCAACAAAGCTTCTTTGGGGTGGGCCATTGAGAGGATAAACTTTGGGGCTGTCTCAGCTTTGTGTCCCTCTGCTCCAGTGGTATTTCTTCCAAGGTCAGGAGCAGCTGCTGTGTTTGGTGCAGTATTTTCTGCGCAGGGCTCTTGGGGACATCACTGTGTGCTGGGGGAGCAGCAGAGCAGGAACATTCTCCTGGCAGGTCCTACATTCTGAGAGTGGTGGCATCTCCCTGAGGTTCTCTGTGTTCCTGCCCCACTGGGGGTTTCAGCCATCCCTGATAAGTCAGATACGGGCATTGCAACTGCTTTATTTTTTATGTTGAAACCAAAATGCTCCTTGAGCTCCCCCCATGCCCCTGCTGTCAGCTGAGGTCACTTCCCCAGTGCACTGTGTGACCGAAAGGTCTCGTGCTTAGTCGGGAATGGCTTTATTTGAATTTTCTGTAAGACTGGACAATCCAATGTTGCTTAATTGCAGAAATGTGAAAGTTTGTGGTGGTTTGTACAAGTCTGCAGGATTTGGAGAATTGCATATCTGAAATACCAGAACAACAGGGACTGAAAAGCAGCTCCTGAGCTTTTCAGTGGGTTTATTTTCTGTCCCCTGAGGTGAGCACTGCAGTCTGGGTGTCAGCCTGGCAGGAGCATCTGCTTTAGCTCCTCAGTTTTAACCAGCAGTGTTAGTACTGCTGGAATGTCTAAAGGAGCATAAAGAGAACTCCCAGTGAAAAGTTTGACAACCCAGGGATAATAAAGGCTAATGCAAGATTAGATTTTAAATGCATAAACTCTCAGAAGTCAGCACACACCCAGCTGAGAAGGGAATGTGTGTCCTTAACTGCTCAGAGTTTGTCACAATCTCTCACACGTCCCTTAACTGCATGTTCCTCATGTGCTGTTTCATATCACAGAGCTTCCTCGGTAGATACTGAATTGTTTTTCACTGCTGGTATTTCTTTTCTAAATGCCAACAAAATTCCTGAAAGTCCTTTAAATGTAACTACCAAGTAGCTTCACTCTGCAGCTTAAGGAAAAAAATCCCTAAAATAATAGGGATATGCTTTGGCATTCCATCACAGCATTGCAATAATTTTGCAGTAATAATTGCAGTATTTAAATTTGGGACAAGGGTGGCTTTTATTTTACTTCTCTTCCCCAAGGACTAGGGGAGCTTTAATTTGAGTGGAATTTTAGGAGCTCTGTTAGTATGAGATCACCTCCTAGTGTGTGATCTGATTGATTTGTATTTATTTATATTTGATAATGAAATTAAACTATATATTAAATTATCTGGATGCATCAACCTGTACAATTGATATCCATGGTTTTGACATGAACTCCGTGGAGACATGACTTTACTTTTGCTCCCAAAGCCTTTGCCATGTGTAGCTGTAGAAGATGGAAATTTTCAAAGTTTTGAAAGTGGAAATCTATCAGTAGTTTTCACATCAGTGGTGGAGAAGCTGAATTTATCTATACTTACAATACTTAAAAAACGTTTTATGTTGCTCTAAATGGATGCATGTAGTAGTAACATTTAAAGTGCATTTGCATTTCCTTGAGACAATAAAAATCCAAATGAGGTATTCATTCATGTACACTCTTCAGCAAGAACTCAAACTGCAAACATGCTGCAGCTCTGGGAGTGGGATTTTGCCAGGAACAGATCTTGAGCTGAAGGCAAAGCAGTGGGACAGTGTGTGACCTGTCTGCAGAGGAATAACCTGCCAGAGAAAGGGCATGTAAAGGAAGGGCAGGAAAAAGAAGGAAGAGTTCTCTGAAGGAAAACCCTTTGTGATATTACCCAGTGAGAGCTGGGTAACATGGCCTGGACCAGGAACAATGCTGGAATAGCACAGGACTGCAGGAGTGAGAGGAATTTTTGTGAGAGATGCTCTTATTGCCCCATATCCTGGAGGAGAAGGGGCCGGTGCTGCCCCATCGTGACAGAGGGGGTGGATAACGTGCTGGTGACGCTGCACTGGGGGTATCTCTCTGCAGGTTTTCACTGTGGGTCTCCAGTCTGGGATAAAGCACTGGCAGTCCAGCTCTCCCAGGGCTGCTTTCCTCGAAGCACTGGAATGTGAGCTCCCTTGGCCTGGCTGCCAGAAACTCGGATCCTGGATCCTGCAGTCCTTTCTTTCTGCTGGGCAAGGGAGGAGCTGTGCTGCACTGGCAGGACTGGCATTCCCTCTTTGCAGCATGGGTTTTCTGAGTGTCACCTGTAGCTTCCCTGAGGTCTGAGCCACCCATCAGTCTCAGAACATCTGCCTTTCCCCGACTGATCCTGGGAAACTCACTGCCTCAGCATCAGAGTGGGAGAGCAAACGTAGGCCCCTCTTTCTTCTCTTTAGGTGCTTCCTTCCAGGGCTCTTTGGGCATTCCAGCAGGAATCCTTGCTTTTTGGAATTTGCTGTAGGATACAGCCCTTCCCCTTGAACAGTCCTCTGCTCTCTGCTTCCTCCTGGAGCTCCCATGTCACTTGACCAAGGCCTGGGTTGATCCTGCAGATGGACAGAGCAGGTGATATGAAGGTTCAGCCCACAGGGGAGTAGATAAACCAGAGCCGAGCTGGTTTGGACCTTTGGGGCAGAACAAAACATCTGTCTTTCCAGCACCACTGTCACCACTCAGTGACACAACATCTGGGCCCGGGATGGGAGTTTTGGAGGTCTGGGTTATTTCTGAGCTTGTTTTTGAGTGCAGTGCCCAGTGTGGAGCTGTGGCAGGGCAGCCTGGGGCTCACAGCTCGTGGCCAGCGTGGGGGGAAGGTCTGTTGCCCTCTGCTCGTGCCGTTTGTCTGTCCTTGTCCACCCTGTGCAGAACTTATGTGTCTTCTCATCCTTGGAGCTGTTTGGTTCCACATGAAGAGTCTTGCACTGGCAACATCATGTTTTCCTTTGTAATGAGCATTTTTTTGACGAATTTTCTAGATTTTTTTTATAACTGTGCCTGCCCCTTCTCTGGCTCTCCATAACAGACAGGCTGGTTGGAGGTCACCTGTGCTCTTTAGGTTGATTTCTTCATTGTCTGCCTTCAGGAACAAGGGAGTTTATACTGGAAAATGGGGTATTTTCTTAGTTTATTGAGCTTTCCCTGTGGTGCTCAGCATTGGCTGGAGAATTTCAGGCAGCAGTTTGCAAGTGCAAAGGGCTGGTTTAGGACATTAGGATGGTTTAGTTCCCGTTCTGCTTTCCTCTGAAAGCCAAGATGCAGGCACAGAAATCCCCACGTCAGGGCTCTGCAAAGACCCAGAAACGTAGGTAAGAAATCTCCTCGCTACATTTTATCAAGGAAGAAAGGGAAAGGTTGTGTTCCTTCCCCTTTTGCCTGCCCCAAAACACACCAATAAAATAAAAAAGAAACCCAACAAAAAAAGTTATGTTGCGGAGCTGAAAGGCTCCTTTGTGAGCTGATCCCTGCAGGATCACGGCTCCTTCCTCCTGCCGAGCTGCCGCAGTTCAGCTGGAGCAGAGGGGCTGCACATTCCTGGTGCTGATGGAAGGCTCTGTCCCAAATGTTACCGCTTCGCCTACACGCAACCCAGGGCTTAAAAATGTTTTGCTTACAGTGCTTTTATTTTAGCTGTGTGGGGTTTTTCAAGTCATTAAAAGGTTTGGATTGCCTTCAGGAGTTAGTCAGCTAGAAAGTTCTGCTTTGTACGGTTGGGTCGTGTTTGAGCAACATGAGCAGCAAAACATCCGCATGTTTTGAGTCAGGAAAATTATTTCACTTTTAGATAACTGAAAAAAAAATGGCTGAAATTGCTTTATTAGACTTTCAAACAGTAAATTTATAAATTCCTGGGCTGAGGCCAAGCAAGGGAGATTTTTACCCAAAGGAGAATTCTTCAGAAAGCAAAGAAAGAAAATAGCAAGGCTCGAGTTTAACCCTCGCAGGATATCTCGCCTCTGGCCCAAGAATTGGTGGAAGTTCTCTGCTTCCAGATAAGCCTCTCTGGGCTGAATGATGATTTTGCTCAAGTTGTTTTCCATTATTATTTATTTACATTATTTAGTTGTTGCACTGCTCCCCTCCAAACCTATCAGCTCGCAGTGTCCTCCCTGCGTGGCTGTGCCAGCCGACGGCTGGGCTGCCCTCACCTGAACGGGCGCTGAACACACCACGCTGGGACTGGCTTCTTCAGGCCAAGTTTCTGGTTTCACCAATTGTTAAAAAGCTTCTCAACGCTTTGAAAGTTTCAGATTAATGTTTTCCAAGAATGGGTTCTGCTCGATGCAAAAAAATATGGAAAGGAAGATGACTCATTCAGATGGTGAATACGGAAAAACGCTTTTTTCCAAAGCGCACATTTTTGGAGTCTGAGTTAGAGCAGTTCTGTCACTGAGCAGATTTTGAGGTGAGAAGTAGAAAATTCATAGTGAAATAACCATCCCTGAGTTCAGAGGTTGTTCCTGAGCTGTAGACAGTTGGGGTTCACTTGTTTGCTTATCTGCTACTGAAAAATCTGAGGATTTTGGGGAGGTCCTTTGCCCTCTGCTCTGCATCCCAAGATCCATTTTTTCCTGTGCACATTTCCCAGTCTGCAGCAGATATTCATATAAGACAGATGAGATGGAAATTTTCTTGGGACATAGGAGTTAACTTGCCTATTGTGCAGCTCCCCTGCCCACCTCCCTACTCTTACTGACTTTTGCAACTTCTCAGAAATTGGTCTTTTGTCTCAGAGCTGTAATTTCTTGGTCTCAGCCCAAAGGTGATGCAGAGTGGGCTGTTGGGGGATTTTTAGTTTGGCATTTTTTAATTCATGAAGACTTTGTTCTGTCTTATGACTAAGAGGAACAACGTTTCTTAGTGCAGTTCAGAAACGGTTGCTCCTTAAACCTTTGTGTGTTGCCTGATTCTCGTTAAACTTGACTAATGTACTTTTTAAAGCTCTTTGAATGGAGCATATTTTTTATGGTTTATGCCGTTGCTTGTGAATGCCAGGACAGCATTTTGCAGAAATCCATTGTGCCATAGCTGCTTTTCCTTGAGTAATAGGTGGGAATTCATACAAGTAGCAGCTGTGAAAAAATCCAGGGCTTTGCTGTCGAGGTTCTGCATCTGATACTGAGGTTTTCTGATCTGGCCCCTCAGTTTATGAGATTGTGCCAAATTAATATCGTTGCCGAGAAAAATGATCTAATCAGGCAGGTTAATCAAGTAGAAATGTACAAATTCACAAACCCACAATCATTTGTTTTTATTATTTTTAAGAAATAGGGAGATTAAATGCAAACAGTGTTCATTACTTCAGGTTGCGAATTTTAAATTCAAAAATGCTGTGCCATTCTGCAGCTGTGGTTTCCAGAGGAGCGCAAGCATGATTCCAAGAGACATATGGAATATTTTGCAACGTAGTTATGTTATTAGATAATGTGACATACAGTATATGCAATTTAGGATGAATATGAAACACTTCAAAATGGCTTGGAAATCCTAATCGTTTATGATCCTTGACTTGTAACTTTGGGTTTTGTTTTCCAGCTTATAGCTTTGCCCATTGCATTCATTTAGGGCTTGAACATGATCTCTGCTCTGTGCTTCTTGCAGTCCCAGCCACAGCAGAGGGAGCTTTTTCTCCCATCTTTTCACATCTGTCTTCAGTAAGACCAGGACAGAATCGCCCTGGGGGGATCTCATGGCCTGTATCCTGTAGTGGCTTTGCCAAGGCTGGGGAGTGGAGGCTGAGCTGGGTGCACTGTTCACTGCTGGCTTTCCTGGTTGACAGCTCTTGCCCAGAAATGGCCTGGTAGAACAAGTCCAGAGGACGCCACAGAGATGCTCTGATGGAGCCCCTCTACTCTGGAGCCAGGCTGTGAGAGCTGGGGGGGTTCACCTGGAGAAGAGGAAGATCCAGGGAGACCTTCAAGCTTCTTCCAGGGCCTAAAGGGGCTCCAGGAGAGCTGGAGTGGGACTGGGGACAAGGGAAGGAGGGACAAGACAAGGGGGAATTGCTTCCCACTGCCAGAGGGCAGGGCTAGATGGGATGTTGGGAAGAAATTGTTCCCTGTGAGGGTGGTGAGGCCCTGGCACAGGTTGCCCAGAGCAGCTGTGGCTGCCCCAACCCTGGAAGTGTCCAAGGCCAGGCTGGACAGGGCTTGGAGCAACCTGTGCTAGTGGAAGGTGTCCCTGCCCATGGCAGGGGGTGGAATGAAATTTATCTTTAAGGTCCCTTCCAGCCCAAGCCAGTCTGTGACTCTAATTACACGAGGGATTTCAGTAACCCTTCAGTAGAAATTAGGAAGCTGATCCTCATGATCACTGTAATGACAGTGGGGCTGTTGGGATGTGTCTGTCCAGGCCCTACACACCCCATCCAGGCACGGCACAGCGGGAGCCGGGCTGGGGCGGGAGGGATGGGCAGGGGGAGCGGGCAGCCCCCTCAGCCCGCACCTTCCCACAGCCCCCTCGGGGCTCCCTGAACCCCACAGGGCAGGGCCAGGGAAGGGATGTCCCTTCAGCCATCCCGTGTCGACCCCAGGTCCCAGTGACAACCTGGGGAATTACAGCCCCGGGTTATGAGGCTCTTCCGAAGGACCAGGTTGGACGGGGCTTGGAGCAACTGCTCTAGTGGAAGGTGTCCCTGCCATGGCTGGGGGTGGACCGAGAAGGTCTTCAGGGTCCCCTTCCAATCCAAACCAGTGTGTGATTCTCTGGCCGCGGGCAGCTGCGGTTCAACACCGAGCCCTTGTTGGCGGGGTCCGGCCCCGCAGCCCCGGTGAGCCCTCACCGCCCGCTCCGTGCCGTCAGGGCCGCGATGTGGGGCAGAGCCGCGGCCGGGGCAGAGCGAGGGAGCGAGCGAGGCAGCGCTCGGGCCCGGGGCAGCGCGGCCGGCGGATCTAAGCGCAGCTCTTTCTCTTTGCAGACACCGAAGCTGCCTCAGGGGAAGGAGCCTCACAAGGCAGTAAGTACAGCGCGGCGTGAGGGGACCGCGGGATGGCGGGGCGGGGGTCCCGCACGCCGAGACCCCGCGGGGCCGGGGCTGTGGCGGGGCCGTCCCGCAGGCGGCCGGCAGGGGGCGGCCCCGCCGCGGAGATGATGGCGGCGGGAGGCGGCGGGGCGGGGCAGGGGTGGGCACGGCGGGGGCCGGGCACGGCCGCCCCTCACGGCTCGGAGCCCCTCAGGGCACGGCGAGTCCCGGGCACGGCCGCCCCTCACGGCTCGGAGCCCCTCAGGGCACGGCGAGTCCCGGGCACGGCCGCCCCTCACGGCTCAGCAGCCCAGAGCGTTGTCGTCCCCCGCGCCGTGAGGGCAGTGCCGTGCCCCGGGAGCCGCCCGGTGGGCGCTGTGAGGGGACCGTGAGCAGAGCTCCTGCTGCCTCAGCCCCCCGGGGCAGGGGCAGGGCACTGCCATCCTCTCAGTGGCGTCAAGCCTTGTAGGATTTTTAGACGCTATAGTTACAATTTTAAGGGGGGACGGAGGGCTGCCAGCCCCGGGGAAGGACAACCAGAGCCGGCCCAGGCAGCAGGGAAGAGGTGGCAGCAAGGGGAGCTGGCGGCAGACTCATGGTCCCTGTGAGGGGTGATTGGGAGGATGGATCAGGGCAGTTCCCAGCGACAGGAGAACCGAGAGAGAATGGACGTGAAGTGAAAAGAGGAGAGGTTGAGGCTGTGATGAAGGAGAAACCGTCCCCCCTGCTGTGGAGCAGGCTGTCCAGAGGGGCTGTGTCCTGCATCCGTGGGGGTTCATATGACCAGCATGGATAAAATCCCAAGTAACCAGGACTGGGCTCAGAGCAGACCCAACTTTGAGCAGGAGGTCAGACCAGAGACCTGCTGAGGTCTCTGTCCACCTGGGTTTTGGTATAGTCATGTTAGGTGGGAGCCGCAATTCCCATTAGAAAGGTAAGTTACCAACCTTGGTGGTTACAGAGGGCAGCTTGGAAGCACCAAACTTACCCTGAGTGGGTTACCAAAATGTTAGATAAATACTAAGAAAAATAATAATTAAAAAGTACAACCAGGCCACCTTTTCTGAACCTTTTCTTCGGCCCATTCTGTGATAGGTGAAGAGTTGAAGTTAGTTTGGGGGTGCTTTTGGCTTTCTGTCTGCAAAAGGAAGCAGGACTGACTTCACTGCAGGTGGGGGATGAAGATCCTCAGCCCTGAGCCGAAAGATCTCAGTAGCAACCAGTCATTAACATGTACACAGTGTCCCTGCTCACTGGTGGAGCTGGGCTCTGCCCCTGAGCCTTTCCCTTGACAGTGTCCAACTCCATGCAGGGGCTGGAGACTGCTTCCCAGACTCCTTTGGTGTCTCTTTTTCGGTCAGTGCTCTGCTGCCCATTGTTGTTTTACTTACCCCAAGGCTTTCCAGGCTCATCTCCTGACTCCCCTGCTCTGAATTTTGACCGTAGGCACTGCTGTGTTCTGGGCCAGGCTTTGTGCATCCTGGGCTTGCAGTTTTGTACTTTTTGTCCTTTTTTTTTTTTTCTGTACTTTTAGCCAGAGATTGGGAATTGCCCTGTTCAAAGAGATATTTTTTTTTTCTGTAAATCAGCTTCTCCCCTTTCCCTTGGCATTGTTGTGGGAACATTTTTGGCTGAGGAAAATAGGGCAGAGTGAGGTGTGAAGAGTAAGAGGGAAAACGACTTGAGTGCTCATGCTTTTGCCATGTGGGCATTGTCATTACCCACATGTCATTGGAGCCATAGAAGGATTTCTGGGGACGTAGATGACTCTTCTGTGGTGGCTGGCTCATGGAGAGAGGGGGAGAACAGTGTGTCATGGGCAGAAGTCTCAGCTTCCGAGGAGCTGCTGGTGGGAGCAGTGGGGATGGAGCAGGGAACAGGGCAGGGACTGCTTCCATCTTCATGCAGGGCTGCTCAGTGCAGGAATTACTGACCCCCCTATTTAGCTGCTGCACTCACTGCTATCCCAGAATAGTCTCATCTAGGTAATACCGCTGGGGGCAAGACCAGGCCACCAGGGCAGGGGGACAGTGGGTGGTGGGCTGTGGAACGGGGAAGGAGGATCCACGGCAGCCATGCCCCACTGGAGGGACAGCCCAGACACATCACCTGTGTCACAGGGTGGACGTGAGACTGCTTGGCCAGTGCTGCTGTGCCTCAGTGCAGGTGGTTGTAATTTCCTGACCAGGTCATCTTCCTCTTCCCTCCTTGCTGCTGCAGTGAAACTGCTCAGCTGTCCTTTTTTCCTCCTTCCCCTCTGGGGCTGGATTAAATCCCTGGCCTACCCTTGTTGTTTCTGCACATCTCTTCTCCTTTTTCCAATCAATGGCTCTCTTGTTTCCTTGTCAGTCTGTTTGCTTCTCATATATTTTAGGAATTTTTTATTTATCTTTCCTTTCCTGCTATTTTTGTTTTGCCTGCTGCTCCACTGCTATTCCTCTGTGACCCGTTTGGCTGTTTACACCCTCCCTATTACAGACGTCTGTATTGTTCAAATCTTCCTCTGCTATTTCTGTCTCATTGGGAACCTCTACATTCATGGTCTCTGCAGGCATGGTTTGCTGCCCTTTTCCAAAATTTCTCAGTATTTGAGGAAGACAGCAAGATCTTGTTTTCTCTCATGTGCTTTTCTCTGGGGCTTGGACTGCATCCATCCTGAACTGCTGTGGAAGAGGAGTCCTGTGACCAGCAATGGTTCCCTGGCATTTGTTCATAAATCTAGAAGTACAGGATTTGCAAAGCTGTTCAGGTTTTCTCCATGGTGACTTTTTGGAGCCACCTGTTGCTCACAGCCACCAATGCTGCCCTAAAAAGTGCTGGTGAAGTGCTGGTGTTGTGTGTCAGGTGAGGAGACATCTGGGCTGCCGCCTGTGCAGAGCACCTGGGCTGGGTCCCAGCCAGCTTTGGTGACAGTTACCTGTGCTGTGTCCCTGGGTTTGCCCAAGCACAACCAGCTCTGTTTGGTTTTGGGAGGCAAAGTTTGGGTGTGAGAGTGAGCTGTGCCTGGGCTGTGGGGAGGATGAATTTCTGACCTGGTGGGTGAGGCTGTGCTGTAACATGCCCTTGCCTTCAGGCCCAAAGAGCTGTGGTAAGAAGGGGCTGCAGCAGGAAGGTCTCTCCTGGCCTTTTTCTTCCTGGAAAGAGGGGAGCCATGGGGCAAGCTGGGATGTGGCTGAGGGCAGTTGTTTGTTTGCTGCCTGCTTAAAGAGGAGACAGTGGTGTTTAGACTTTCCAGCTGGAAAGCACTTTGAAGACTCGTTGATGAAAAGCTGTTGCATTTAGCTGGTTATTTTCAGCCTCTGGGGTTTTTAGTCTTTATATTGTGACTCTGGGACTCCCTTTATTTTTTTAGACCCATTCTTGAAGTGACACAGCTCTGTGGTATTGAGGAGAGGATGTGCTCATGGGGACACGGCTGCATGGCAGTGGGAGGTACTTTTCTAGCCTTGGCTCAGGGTCCAAGACCAGAATTCCCACATGTGGAGAGAGGAAAACAATGCAGCCCACCGTGCTAATGTGTTAATGAAGACTAACTGCTACCAACTTTGGCTGGCAGAGAGGAGGAAGAGAGGAGAATGATTTTGAAAAAAACTGTCTAATTGATATTTCTTCCTGGGCAGGGGTGGTCAGTTTGGCATCCAGGTCACTGACTGTTCCTGTAGGAGAGTCTGGCCATCTTCTCTGAGATGCTGAACTTTGAGAAGTGCTCAGGAAGGTGTTGGGGCCAGATCTGTGCCATCATTCTCCATGGAAATTCCAGTCATGTTTGGGGGAGTTGCAGACTTTGCACAAACAGTCTCCCTGCTGCTGCTCACATACCACAGGAGATTCTTGGCAACTGGACAGGTCACTGAACAAACTCAGGGGCAAGTGGGGGTCTGGGGCCCTGTAGCTGTGGGGACACAGCTGAGGGCAGCAGCACCTCTGGCCTGAGCAGGTGTTTGCAGGTTGTGGGCAGTGGGTTGTGTTGGGTGGGTTGAGTTTGATGGGTTGTATTTGGTGGGTTGGGTTTGATGGGTTTTATCAAGTGGGTTGTGTTTGATGGGGTTTATTGGGTGGGTTGTGTTGGGTGGGTTGAGTTTGATGGGTTTTATTGAGTGGGTTGTGTTGGGTGGGGTTTATTTAGTGGGTTGTGTTGGGTGGGTTGTGTTCAGAGCTCATGTCCCAGGTCAGGCACACAGTTCTAAGAGCTGGGCTGGCACCAGTGTTGGCTCACACTGCCTGTGGAGGGCCTGTACCTGGGAGCTGCCCTTGGGTTAGACAGAAAAGCCAGGATGGTCCCCATGCTGACAGCCTGTCTCTGGGCACATCCCCAGCAGGCTGAGGGGAGAACGAGCTCCCACCAGCACAGCCCTGGTCTCCAGGGTGTGGTAGTCTTGACTGTTTGCAGGTCTGTAACTCTGCTAGACAGGCTGGGAGAGCTGGGGGGGTTCACTTGGAGAAGGCTCCAGGGAGACCTGAGAGCCCCTTCCAGGGCCTAAAGGGGCTCCAGGAGAGCTGGAGAGGGACTGGGGACAAGGGATGGAGGGACAGGACAAGGGGAAATGGTTTCCCACTGCCAGAGGGCAGGGTTAGATGGGATATTGGGAAGGAATTGTTCCCTGTGAGGGTGGGCAGGCCCTGGCACAGGTTGGCCAGAGCAGCTGTGGCTGCCTCTGGTTCCCTGGAGTGCTAGTTCCACTGTGCTAGTGGAAGGTGTCCCTGCCCAAGGCAGAGAGTGGGACTGGATGATATTTAAGGTCTCTCCCAACCCAGACCATTCTGTAATTTTGCTTCTGTGATTGTAATACTCAGGCTACTGGATTTTGGTTTTATTCTTTTTTGTAGGAAAGAGGAATTTAAGTACAAGAACATAACTGGCTTGCAGAGCTCAAAGACAGACTGGGTTTTATGGTTGCCCATGAAATTCATCTGGGAGTCGTGTAATCACCCAGGCTTTGCTCTGCATGCTCTGCAGCTCTTTCTTACAGTGCTCAGCCTCCTCGTCCAGCCGA